GATGCTGGCACTGCAGGTGGTGGCTGAATCCTCTACGCCACAGCGCCAGTCTCATCAATCTAAATAACTGTAAAAATATGCTATGTTCATCAATTACAAGACTCAATATTGTTAAGATGTCAGTTCTCCCAAAACTGATCTATAGAATCAACTCAACTTCAAACAAAATCCCAATAGCCTTTTTGATAAAATTAAAAACTGATTTTAAAATCTATGTGGAAATGAAATGACCTAGAAGAGCTAAAGTAACTAAAAAAAAGAAAAAAAAGAAAATCTGGAAAACTTATACTACCTGATTTGAAGATTTACTATAAAAGCTACAGTAATAAAATAGTATGGGTGTGTGTACAGGGCTATGTATTAACTGTGTTTTCTTATTTATTTTATTCTTTACACTCTTGGGCTTGGCTGATCCTGGAAAGATTGCCCCTCCAGGGCTAGCTAATCGCTAGAGAAAGAAAAAGACTTATTTTATTTATTTGAAAGCCAGTGTGACAGAGAAAGGGAGAGAGTGAGAGAAGAGGGAGAGGGAGAGGGAGAGGGAGAGGGAGAGGGAGAGGGAGAGGGAGAGGGAGAGGGAGAGGGAGAGGGAGAGGGAGAGAGAGAGTGAGCGAGAGCAAGCTTACATTTTCCTTCCACTGGTTTACTGCCCAAATATCAGCAACAGCCAAGGCTGGGTCAGGCTGAAACCAGGAGCCAGGAAGCCCATCCAGGTCTCCCATGTGGGAGTCAGTGGCCAAACACTAGAGCCATCCTTTGCTGCTTTCCCAGGCATATTAGCAGGGGGCTGGACTGGAAATGGAGCAGCTGGGACATGAACTGGCACTTCGATATGGGATGCTGGTGTCACAGGCTGCAGCTTAACTCCCTGTACCACACCACCAGCCCCAGGCTAACCAATGTTAGACTTGCCCAGCCTGCTTACCCTGCCTGGTCCATTCCCTCCCACAAAGTCCATAATAAATGTTCTGGTCTGTGCTTGACGCTCATTCATTCTGCCTCCTGATGGACCCTTGTGCTTCCCACGTGGCTCCCCATGGTGCGGCACGGCCCATCCTCTTGGAAACGGTGTGTAAAAACTATCTTTTCAGTGGTAGCTGTCACCTGATCTGTTGGCTGCACCATACCGGAATAATAATAAAACCCACTTTTTAAAAATTGATTGAGAAATAGATTAATTCAATAGAGAAGAAGGCTCAGAAACAGGCTCATATGTATATATGATCCCAAACTTACAATAGCTGAATTTAGGATTTTCCACCTTTGTGATGGTGTAAAAGTGAAACACACTGAGCATATTAGGTGTATTAAAAGCATCTTTGACTTAAGATATTTTCAACTTACTTTTTTTTAAACTTTTATTTAGTAAATATAATTTACATAATTTTTTGGATTACAATGGCTTCCCCCCCATAAATTCCCTCCCACCTGCACCCCTCCCATCTCCTGCTCCCTCTCCCATTCCATTCACATCAAGATTCATTTTCAATTATCTTTATATACAGAAGATTGATTTAGTATATATTAAGTAAAGATTTCATCAGTTTGCACCCACACAGAACATAAAGTATAAAATACTGTTTGAGTACTAGTTATAGCATTAATTCACATTGGACAACACATTAAGGACAGATCCCACATGAGGAGTAAGTACACAGTGACTCCTGTTGTTGACTTAACAATTTGACACTCTTGTTTATGGCATCAGTAATCCCCCTAGGATCTTGTCATGAGTTGGCAAGGCTATGGAAGCCTTTTGAGTTCGCCAACTCCGATCTTATTTAGACAGGGTCATAGTCAAAGTGGAAGTTCTCTCCTCCCTTCAGAGAAAGGTACCTCCTCCTTTGATGGCCCGTTCTTTCTACTGGGATCTCACTCACAGAGATCTTTCATTTAGTTTTTTTTTGTTTTTTTTTTGCCAGAGTGTCTTGGCTTTCCATGCCTAAAATACTCTCATGGGCTCTTCAGCCAGATCCGAATGCCTTAAGGGTTGATTCTGAGGCCAGAGTGCTGTTTAGGACATCTGCCATTCTATGAGTCTGCTGTGTATCCCGCTTCCCATATTGGATCACTCTCCCTTTTTGATTCTATCAGTTAGTATTAGCAGACACTAGTCTTGTATGTGTGATCCCTTTGACTCTTAGACCTATCAGTGTGATCAATTGTGAACTGAAATTGATCACTTGGACTAGTGAGATGGCATTGGTACATGCCACCTTGATGGGATTGAATTGGAATCCCCTGGCACATTTCTAACTGCACCATTTGGAGCAAGTCCAACTGAGCATGTCCCAAATTGTACATCTCTTACAATGAGTTTATTGCGATACCCCCAGTAAGTCAAGAAGCATCTGTGTGAAGTCAATTGAGTTTGATAAACATGTCAAGGAAATTAAATGGAAAAACAGAGAAAATCTCTTCAGCAAATGGTTTTGGGACAATTAATCAGTAGTGAAAAATTAACATCAACTCTTGCATTACAGACCAGAAAAAAAAATGAATCATAGACCTCAACTGATAAAAACTCCTGGAAGACAACATGAGAAAATCTTTATTATTTTGTGGTGGCAAATATTTCTTCAGCAGATAATAAAAAGCAGTAACAATAAGGAAAGATAATAAATCAGATATTAGCAAAATTAAAATTCTTGCTCTTTGACAGGCACTAGTAGGAAAATGAAATTGCAAACCACAGATTGAAACAGAGTATTAGCATATATCTGACAAAGGAGTTGCATCTAAAGGAACTATATTAAAACTCAACAATAAGACAGGAGCTGCTATTGTGGCGCAGCTGGTTAAGCCACCACCTGCAACAGTGGCATCATACATAGTAGTGCTTCCTACCCAGCTCCATGCTGATGTTCCTGGGAAGGCAGGAGAAGATGGCTCAGGTACCTGGGCCCCTGCCACCCATGTAGGGGTCATGGGTGGAGTTCCTGGCTCCTGGTTTCAACCTGGCCCAGCCCTGACTGTTGTAGGCATTTGGGAAATGAACCAGTGGATGGAAGATGTCTGCCTGTCCATCTGCCTGTCTCTCTCCAATACATTAATTTACACTTGATCTTAGCCAACGGCCGGGAAGCGATCCAATACATTAATTTAAAAAAGACAATCCAATTAAAGTGGGAAAGATATTTGAATAGACATTTCATTTAAAAATGTACAAGCACATGCAAAGATGCTTGGCATCATAACTCTCATCAGAGGATTGCAAGTTAAAAATCACAATGAGGGGACAGGCATTTGGCCTAGGGTTGGGATGATAGCATCCACATGTATGAAAGTCTAGGTTTAGGGCTAGCACTGTGGTGTAGCAGGTTAAGCCGCTGCCTGCAGTGCTGGCATCCCATATGGGCACTGGTTCGAGACCTGGCTGCTCCACTTCTGATCCAGCTCTCTGCTGTGGCCTGGGAAAGCAGCAGAAGATGGCTCAAGTCCTTGGGCCCCTGCACCCACGTGGGAGACCTGGAAGAAGCTCCAGGCTCCCGGCTTCAGATCAGCACAGTTCCAGCCATTGTGGCCAATTGGGGAGTGAACCAGTGGCTGGAAGACCGTCTCTCTCTCTCTCTCTCTCTCTCTCTGCCTCTCCTTCTCTCTCTGTGTAACTCTGACTTTCAACTAAATAAATAAAATCTTTAAAAAAAAGGAAAGTCTAGGTTTGAGTCCCAGCTCCATTCCCAATTCCAGGTACCTGCTAACGTGCACCCTGGTAGGTAGCAGGTGATGGCTCAAGTGGGTGGGTTCCTTCCAGCCATGTAGAAGACCTGGATTGAGTTTCTGGTCTCTGGATTTGGGCTGGCCCATTCCTGGCTATTGTAGGCATGTTGGAAGTGAACCAGCAGGTGGGAGATTGGTTGCCTCAGAATCTCCATTACAAATGAGAATAATCTTATATGAAGAGACACATTTGGAGTGAGTTTGAATTCATTTGGCAAACCTTCTCATGTATAGCTCTATATCTGTGTCAACAGTGAGTGGTCTAGGGGCAAGTGTTTGGCATAGCAGTTCAAATTTTGCTTTTGAGATGCCTGCATCCCATATCCAAGTACCTGATTCTAGCTTCCTGCTAATGCATATTCTAGGAGGCAGCAGGTGAGTCCATGCCACCAGTGTGGAGACCTGCATTGCGTTCTGGGCTCTCAGCTTCAGCACCTGTTAGGGGCATTTGAGGAGTGTATCTGCAGATGGGAGCTCTCTGTATCTGCCACTATCTCTATCTTTCTCTTTTTCTGACTCTCAATAAAACTTTAAAAAAAAAAACAGAAGAAAGCATGAAAAAATCACAGTTAGGTACTATTAAATATCCACTCTAATAGTAAAAAATAACCACAGTGAAAAAGTCAGCATATGATCCAGAGGATGGGAACTGGGGCAATTTTCCTGGAGAAAAGCCAAACAATTTTTAACTGTGAGGTAGAGAAAGAAAAATTTGGTATCTGACAGGCCAATGCTATTTATTCTGAGAGGCCAATGCTATTTATCTTCAAGCAACTTCCAAAGTGTAGAACCTTTTTTTTTATTATTTTTATTTTTTTTATTTTTTTTTTAATTTTTTTTTTGACAGGCAGAGTGGACAGTGAGAGAGAGAGACAGAGAGAAAGGTCTTCCTTTGCCGTTGGTTCACCCTCCAATGGCCGGCGCGGCTGGCGCGCTGCGGCCGGCGCACCACGCTGATCCGATGGCAGGAGCCAGGAGCCAGGAGCCAGGTGCTTTTCCTGGTCTCCCATGGGGTGCAGGGCCCAAGCACCTGGGCCATCCTCCACTGCACTCCCTGGCCACAGCAGAGGGCTGGCCTGGAAGAGGGGCAACCGGGACAGAATCCGGTGCCCTGACCGGGACTAGAACCCGGTGTGCCGGCGCCGTTAGGCGGAGGATTAGCCTAGTGAGCCGCGGCACCGGCCAAAGTGTAGAACCTTTAAAAAGAGTAGCAATAGCCTTTTTCAGGAAAAAAAAAATACTTCCATGTCTCCCCTTCTTCCTGGTTCACAATTACTCACCTGAACATCTCTGATGCGGGGCTTCTTCCTCCAACATCCATGGCTCCTGTCCTTGCTCCAACTTAAAGATGACCTCTGGTTTGGGGACTTCAAATCCTGTCAACAGGACACGATAGAGATTTGGGCCCGGCTAATTGCTTTGCACTTGTTCCTCGGAAAAGTAACCGCCTTTCAGTAGGAACAGAGTAGTCTAGTCATCACAGAAGCAGGAAGGGACTGAAGAATCTCAGAGAAATCCAGAGTAACCATCAAACACTGTAGATGTCCCAAAATGCTTGGCAGCTGAGAATGGAAACGTCCTCTCTGAGGCTCTGTATTAGTTTCTTAGCGCCGCCATAACAAAGTACCAAAATATGGGTGGCTTCCAATAACGGGAACTTATTCTCTCACATTTCTAGAGTCTAGAAGTCCAAATTCAACATGTCAGCAGGTTCATGGTGTTTCTATCAGATCGAGAAGAGACTTGGAACAGCTATACTCAGCAACTGGCAGAATCCCCACACAGGTTCCCTCATCTGTGAAGTGAGGACTATTACAGTGGGAAAGGCCAAGTAGGAGCCACTAGAACCACATCTACCTAGGAAAATAGTGAACAAAAAGCCATATCCTATTCCTGAAGGGATTGTGGAGTTTAGTGTTACTATCAGGAACTCGAAGGAGGCAAGGGATGGTGACTCCCACCAAATCCCCATTCAGCTTGCCTATTTGGCCTGTGCACATGGCAGATGGATCCTGGAGAATGATAATGGATTATTTCAAGCTTAACCAGGGGATGACTGCAGTTGTAGCTGATCTTCTGGATGTAATTCACTGCCTGAGTAAATTAACACTTTCCCTGGTACTCAGTACGCAGCTATTGATCAGGATAATGCCTCTTTTGTGATATCTTAGTAACGACCATCATAAGCATTTTCTTGCAGCTAGCAAAGCCAGCAGTACACTATCCCTGTCCTACCTCAGGGGTATAGCAACTGTCCAGTCCTATGTCACGACTTGGTCTACAGTGACTTTGATTGCATTTCCCTTCCACAGGACATCACGTCACATTGGCCTTTTATATCAATTATATGGTTCTGAGTAGACCTAGTGAGCAACAAGTAGAAACTACTCTACACTTATAGGTAAAACATTCATATCTCAGAGTGGGACACTAATCTGACAAAATTTAAGGACCTTCTATCTTATGGAAATTGTTGAGGGGTCCAGTGGTGGACACATGTGGAGATATCCCCTCTAAGGTAGAGAATAAGCTTTTGCATCTGGCCCCTCCTAGAAGCCAAAAAAAAAAAAAAAAGGTACAATAAGGTATAATACCTACTAAATCTCTTTGGATCTGAAAGGCAACACATTCCTCCTCATTTGGATCTGCTAATCTGGCCCATTTACTAAGTGATCCAGACAGTGCTTAGTTTTGTGTGGGCCCTATAAGAGAAGGATCTGCAACAGGTATAGGCTGCCATGCAAGATGCTTTGTAGCTTTGGCCATAGGACCCAGCAGATCCAATGGTGCTCGAAGTGACAATAGTAGACAGAGATAGTGCTTGGAGCCTTTGGCAGGCCCCATAGGTGAATCACAGCAGAGATCCTTAGGATTTTGGAGCAAAGTCCTGCTATCCTCTGTAGATAATTATTCGTCTATTCAGAAATAGTTTCTGGTTTCCTATTGGGCCTGCATTTGTTCACTCACTAAATGTAAGAATTAGTTAGTGGAGAAGAAACTTAACAAGGATTCCCTTAGTAATAGCAAATGAACATGGAAGAACCCAAGGCTGAATCCCTGCCCCAGAGTTTGGTGCTGGGAACATGGCATATAGAAGATGCATTCTTTTGTGCTGCTCATAGGGGAGCCAAGTCCTTCTGTTTGAGGCTTAACTTGTGGATGGTGTAGGGCAGTAGAAGCCCCTTGAGCACTGCACCTGGGTATTACTGGAGTGATACTGCTTGAGAATGTAGTCTAAAGTGGGTGATAAATGTTATCTAAGGCCAAATACTGGTGAAAAACTGAAATCCAATAAGTACTTTAATGGAAAGTTAAAGAGAATTTTGAACATGTGAAATTATTAAGGGTTGTGACCTCAGATCAGACATGGCAATCCCACACCCTCGGTCCTGGGTGGTGGCTCTACTCATTTAGTCTTGGAAACAAGGAGACAGCCCTACCCTCTGAAACTGAAACAGTGGATCCTCCAAATTCTCTGGCCTTTGACCTCGCGGACTGTGGTGGCAGCTGCAGGCCCCTGGTCTCTGAACCATCCTTGAAGTGATTATTTCGTTTTCTTAAAAGACAACACATGTTCACAGCCAAATGGCTTTTCTATCCCTTTCATGCTTGTAGAATCCCGGAAGCCCAAAAGTCTTCCTTCATTGTCTCCCTTCTCTGTCCCATTGAGCTTCTGCTGACAGAATTTCTACTGAGATAGTTGATTAGATCCAGAAGTCACATATCTAATCGCTTTAGCAACTGATTATCCAATTCTTGTTTTCTTTCCAGAAGACATTTTCTCAATATTTTCATCATGAATAGGGTGGAAATGTCCCAAATCTTCTGGGACTTTTTTTTTCCTAACAATTTCTTCTTAAATTTATCTCTCTCTCTCTCTTTTTTTCCACAGTTCACATTTACTATAAGCAGCAAGGAGAAACTGGACTGCACTTTCAAAACTTTGGTTAGCAATCTCCTCAGCTAAATATTCAAGTTGATTACTTACAAGTTCTATTTTTCACCCAACAGAACACAATTCAGCCAAGTTACCTGACACATAATACCAAGGATTGTCTTTCATCTACTTTGTAATAACACTTCCATCTGAGACTCCATCAAAAGTAACTCTAACACTCACGTTTCTGCCAAGAGCTTCTTTAAGGAACTCTAGGATTTTCCTGTCAAGTACCTAAAAATATTTCCAGTCTCTATTCATTACCCAATAAAACATCATTTTCACATTTTTCGGTATTTATCACAGCAACATCCCATTTCTAAGTATGAAAATCCTTATTAGTTTCTTAGGGCTACTGTGACAAAGTGCCACAGACAAGAGGGTTCAAAACAACAGAAATGTACTGTCTCACAGTTCTGCAGACCAGAAGTCCAAAACGAAGGTGTCATCAGTCACACCCTCTTTGAAAGTGCTAAAGAAGGAATGGGTTCCTTATTTCTCTACTAGCTGCTGGTGGCCTCAGGCGTTTCTTGGCTTCCAGATGTATTGTTCCAGTCACGTGCCATCTTCTCCGTGTGTGTCTTCACACTGCTTTCCCTGGGTGTCTCTGGGTCCAGATTTCCCCTTTTTCTAAATACCCCAGTTATACTGATTTAAAGCCTGCTCTGATGAGCTCATTTTAGGTTTATTACTTCTCTAAAGACTCTCTCTAAACAAAGTCATATTCTGAGTTTCTAGGGGGATACGACTTCAACATATTTTATTTGAAGGACACAGTTGAACCCACAACAGGCTCCTCACAGCTTTGTGCGGTGGCTGTGCTTACCCACTGAGAGCAAGTGGCTGTAGTTCTCCAGCATTACATCCTGGTACAGGCTTCTTTGAGTGAAGTCCAGTTGCTGCCACTCCTCCTTACTGAAGTCCACGGTAACATCCTCAAATGACACTGATACCTGTTAACAATACAATTCTGTTCAAGACAACATGATTGACACTGGAGGATGGAAGAAGACAGAGAAGAAGAGTTTTTCATCATACTATACCATACAGTATGCCTGGTAAATATCTAATTAAATATAACATATGTAAAACATTGTATAGAATATAAACATCTAGTCATAGATTTGTTTTTAAAAAGATTTATTTATTTATTTATTTGAATGACAGAGTTACAAAGACAGAAGAAGAAGGGGAGAGGGAGAGGAAGAGAGAGAGAGAGAGAGAGGGAACTTTCATCTACTGGTTCACTCCCCAAATATTTGCAACAGCTGGGGCTGGGCCAGGCTGAAGCCAGCAGCCAGGACCTCCATCCAGGTCTCCAATGCGGGTAATAGGAACCCAAGTACTTGGGTCATTATCTGCTCCCTCAAAGGTGCATTAACAGGTAACTGGATTGTAATTGTAGGTGAGAGTAGATCCCAGGCACTCCACTATGGGATGCAAGTATCTCAAGTAATGGCTTAATTTACTGTACAGCACCCACCTCCACAGTTGTAAAATTCTTTTGTTCATTATATTTAGATTAGTCTGTCTTCCATTTTTTTAAAAATAATAATTTTGGTAAGTATTTGAATTTGATTCTATTTCATTGCTCATTTTTATGGAAAAAATTTATTCTATAACATTTATAAGTAAGCATGCATATTCTTTTCATTATCTTTTAACTTCACAGAGCTTCTTCTACTGTTGCTTTCATTTACTCTTCAAAAATGTGGCCATTTTCTTTTTAAAAGATATATTTATTTATTTGTTCATTTGAAAATCAGAGTGACAAATACAGGGAGAGACAGAGAGATATGCTTCATTTACCAATTCACTCTCTAAACGCCTGTCACAGCTAGGGGCAAGGCTGACTCCAGGAACAAGGAACTACAACCAGGTGTCCCATGGATTTTCCTGGACTCACACCAGGTACTCCAATATGGGATGTAGGCATCCCCAGTAGCTGCTTAACATGCTGTGCCACAATGCCTGCCCCAGCCATTTTCTTTTGATACATCTTTATTGATCATTTATTATTTGATTTGATGGTGGTCAGCAAACACACTATCTGATTTCAACATATGATGATACTTTAAAATTTTATGGAGGGGTTGTCACTGTGGTGTAGCAGGTAAAGCTGCTGCCACAGTGCTGGCACCCATATAAGTGCAGTTTGAGTCCCAGCTGCTCCACTTTTGATCCAGCTCCCTGCTAACGCACCTGGGAAAGCAGCGAAGGATAGCCAAAGTGCTTGGGTCCTTGCATCCACATGGGTCAATCTTCTGCTGTTTTCCCAGGTGCACCAGCAGGGAGCTGAATCAGAAGTAGAGCAGCCAGGATTTGAACCAGGATGCCCACTCTTACTGTTCATATTCAATACAGTACTGGAAGTTTTAGCCAGCATTGAGCAAGAGAAAAAATAAAAAAAAAAACATACAGATAAGGAGGGAGGAAGCCAGCTTTTCCTTGTTTGCAGATGATATGTTTCTATATAGAGAGGAAATAAAAGTCTCTACTAAGAGACAAATGAACTCAGTAAAGTTGCAGCATACAAATCCAACACAAAAAAATCAGTACCATTTTTATACACCAATAATGAACTTGCTGAGAAAGAACTTCTAAGAGACATCCCATTTACAGTAGGTACAAAAAATTAAATATCTTGGAAAAAATTTAACCAAAAAATGCAAAAAAATCCCTATAATGAAAACTATAAAATGCTAATCAAAGAAACTGAAGCCATCACACACACAAAATGCAAGGGTTTCCATGTTTGTGGATTAGAAGAGTTAATATTATTAAAATATGCATATTACCCAAAGTGATTTACAGGTTCAACACAATCCCCATTAAAATACCAATGGCATTTTTCACAGAACTAGAAAAAATCCCAAAATTCATATGGAAGAACAAAAGTCCTGAAATAGACAAAACAATAAAGAACAAAAAGACTAAGCTGGAAGCATCAGAATGATAAAGACAATACAGAGCAATTATAACCATGCAGCATGATACTGGCATAAAAACAGACACACAGACTCGTGGAACTGAACAGAGCTCCCTAAATGAAACTACACATCTACAGATAATTGATATCTCTACAAAGGCTCCAAAAATCATACAACAAAGGACAGTCTCAAGAAATAGTAATGGGAAAACAGGATGTCCACATGCAGAAGATTGAAACTTGTCCTTACTCACATCCTATACAAAAATCAACTCAAAATGGATCAAAGGCCCAAATATAAGACATTAAATTATGAAACTACTAGAAGAAATCATAGGGGAAACATTTCAAGACACTGGCAAAGGCAATGAATTTTGGAGAAGAATGCCAAAGCACAGGCAACAAAAGCAAAAATAGACAAAGGGGATTATAACAAACTAAGAAGGTTCTGCACTACAAAGAAAACAATCAACACAGTGAACAGAGAACTAGTAGAATGGGAGACAATATCTGCAAACTATTCAACTGGCAAATGATTAGCATTGAGAACTCAAAAAAACTCAACATCAACAACAAAAACAATAACCTATTTAAGAAATTGGTAGAGGGTCTGAAGGGACATTTTTCAAAAGAAGAAATACAAATGGCCAACAAACACATGAAAAATTTCTCAACATCACTAGCTATAGAGAAATGCAAATCAAAACCACAATGAGATATTATCTCATGCAGTTAGAAGGGGTGTTATCAAAAAGCCAAAAAAATAGCAAATGGTGGGCCAGATCTGTGGTGTAGTGGGTAGGGTCACTGCCTGCAGTGCCAGTGTCCCATATGGGTGCCAGTTTGTGACCTGGCTGTTCCACTTATGATCCAGCTCTCTGCTGTGGCCTAGGAGAGCAATGGAAGATGGCCCAAGTCCTTGGGCCCCTCCACCTGTGTAGGGGTCCCAGAGGAGGCTCCTGGCTCCTGGCTTCAGATTGGCACAGCTCCGACTCTTGAGGCCATTTGGGGAGTGAGCCAGTGGATGGAAGAGCTCTCTTTCCCTCTCTCTCTCTCTCTCTCTCTCTCTGCCTCTGCCTCTCTGTAGCTCTGATTTTCAGATAGATAAACGAGTCTTTAAAAAATAGCAAATGATGTTGAGGCTGTAGAATAGAGAACTTTTATACATCATTGCTGAAAAATGCAAATTAGCACAGCTATTATGGAAAACACTACAGAGGTTCCTCAAAAAACTAAAAGCAGATCTACCATATGACCCTGCCATCCTACTTATGGGCATGTATCTGAAAGAAATTAAGTCAGTATATGAAAGAGATACCTGCACCCCCATGTTCACTGCAGCACTATTCACAATAGCCAAGATAGAGAATCAACCTAGGTGCCCATGAATGGATGAATAGACAAAGAAATGCATCATAAATACACAATGAATATTATTAAACCATAAAAAGAATGCAATCATGACATCTGAAGCAAAATGAATGGAACTGGAGGCCATTATGTTAAGTGAAATAAGCCAGACACAGAAAGACACATACCACATGTTCTTTTTCATATATGGAAGTTTCTTTTATAAAAAGTTGTTCTGAATATAGAATAAGAATTAATAGAGGCCAGGAAGGATGGGGGACAGGGAATAGAGGGAGGTTGGAGAACCAGTACCAAAACACACTTGGATAAAAGAAATAAGTTCTAGCATTCCACAACACACTGTGGTAACTAGGGTTCATGATAATATATCACATGTTGTATAAGAAGAGAAGAGTTGCTTGGCTCCAAGTGCGTAAAAGACAAGGAAATGGAAATGCTAGTTGTCTGATTTGATCAGTTAAAGCTGTATACATGTGTTGAAATATTGTACTATTCCAAATAAATGTACAAGTAGTACATGGGTTTAGATTCCAGAATATTTTTGGATTTTGGATTTTTGGAGTAAGGTTACTTAGCCTGTATTACTCATTTATTCCTATGCCCAGTTAAGACCTATAGAAGGTTGCACAGAACTTGGATGTGGGCTTTCTGTTTACAGCCCAACAAACAGGGATGTGCACTGGCACAAGCAGGGAATTCTGCAACAAAAAGGCTTTATTTGCTTGATGGAGCAAACATGTCAGAGCCCAGAAGGCGATTCATCTCAACAGAGGGTATTGTGGTCAGAATACTATGATTATCTGCTGACCCTTACATCCATGGAAGAATTAAGGGCTTTAGGGACCCACTGAAATGGGTTGCCAATGGCCAGTTTGAACCCTTTCTGCTTTAGTCATCTGGGAAAAGTTTCAGCAGCATATCCAGAAGATGACTGGGCTCCTTTGTTGATAACTCCCAGCAACTTGCTGAGGTGTCCTCAAAATTTATTAGCACAGATGCAGGGAACAGATCAAAATCACCCTCTGGTCCTATCTACTTTTGTGTCAGCCAAGCACAGACTATTACTCAAATCTAAGCAGGTGCAACTCAGTTTTGGGACGAACTAGAGAAAGGCAAAGAAGAAAAGAAGCAATTAAAAACTGCTGTGTCCACTGCTCAGTGGGAACTATTTTTCTAGCCTGGACAATCTATGATGGGAATCAAGAGCAATGGAAACACTGCATATGTCACTACCTTAAGAAGCCAGAACACACACAACACACTCACACACACACACACACACACACACACACACACAGAGAGAGAGAGAGAGAGAGAGAGAGAGAGAGATTGATTATTGTAAAAAGAGACTCCAGAGGATTCAGAGATTGTAGGAAGTAGTAGGGAATTAGAGAAGGCTAGGAGGATAATACCCTGAACTAGGGAATAACTGGCAATTGTCTCAAATCAGCAGACTTCAGGACTTGAAGAAGTGGAAATGAATGAACTACAGTGTAAATAATTTTCCCACAGACTATCACACACTTGCCTTTTCTAGTAGATAACTGACGGTATTCTGCAATTTCCTCCTAAGCATCTCATTTGTCACCTGGTTTTAGGTCAACACAGGATGTTTACATTTCAGACTGGTCTTCTGTTTCTTTCTTTCCCTCC